TACGTGATTTCCAATTCATGGTTAATTGTCGTTTTCCAGTGAATGATAATACATATTATCGATTTGAAGAAAATTACGAGTTCCACTTCCAGATTGTCGATGAAATGATGGCAATTACAATATAGTTCCTCGGCACGTATCATATTTGCCTGATTCACATTTAGCGTGCCTTAGGCCTACCTAAATTTAGCGTTTTCTTTCTATATTTACAATCAATTCGGTTTTTATCTGGGTTATTGTAAACTTATCAGTGGTGGTCAGATGGAAAGTCAATAAAAGTTTGCTAATGTCTCAAAGTGTCTGCAATCTTGTCATATGTGATACTGTCTATGAGGATTCATTGAATTTGGCAATCCTAAATATCAATCAATGCTCTTCATATGTTGGTAGTCTAAGTGACACGTCTCATGTAAGCCTTGTTGCAAATGTAAATGTATTTTGCATAATGTTTGTTATGTGAAAAATGAGCATGTATTTGTATTTGCTTTTTTTTTGTATGAAATAAAACCAAATCGGCAAAATCAATAAATGTAATCCCATCTTAATACTGAGTCGTGCTGCTATACAAATTATGGTGATTGACAATGTTACGCGTCATAAAAACTATATTTATCTTGATATTTTTGCATGAAAATAACCTCTAGAGCGAGAAACGAGGTGTTTTATATTTACTATTTGTAACGACTGGGGTTATCATTTGTCATATACATATTTCATTTATATACTGTCAATAATTGTAGTTCGAATCATTTAATAATATACGTATAATATACAAAACAAATATCATACAAACGAGTCGCGTTTGTTAACGTATTGTTTACTTTGCCGTGTATACGATTCCATTCCATAAATATATATTGGGGTTGCCGACTCATAATACATATCACTTCCAACATGTATGTTGCATTGGGAGCCAGTTGATATATATTGCACATTGTATTTTCTTATATTTCATTGACCTATCAATGAATTCCTCCGACAAACATTGATATGGCATATGCACTACTGTATTGGCCTATAACTAAGCTTTCAGATCGTATATAGGTTATTTTATTAGCATACTTAGTAACTTTTAGAGAATGTCTGAACCACAGATCAATTGTAATTCACTTTCCCTGTTACTAGCATAGTAAATACAACTTACTTTTATGGTATACACAATTTGAAGTACGCCCTCTTACGTTGTGTGTCTGGAATGGTGTAATATAGGTTTCACCAATGTAAATCCCTGTCATTTTGCTGAAAATAAATAGCAAACTTCAGAAATACCACATTTAATTTAAGTGCAGCATTATACCGCCTTAATTTGTCGATTTCAACATCAAATGGTATGGTGTATTTCAAATACCCTTTTACTGTAGCTCTATTGCCATGGAATGTGAAAACTATCGCGTTTCAGTCTAAGGTTTCTAACAGAAAATCAAACGTGATTATTCCTCATATTATTTGGAACGCGCAGTTTTAATCAAGAAATGCCTAAAATTGGTATGATGCTTTTACCCTGGTCACATACCCCCCCCCCCCTCCCAACAAACAATAATATGCAATACTATGTGTTTTTTTATAACCAATTATTCGAAAGTCGCACACATTGTTATGTCATTCACTTGATTGGTTACATATATTATTTCCCCTCTGGTCGTTGTCTTAATTATTCCTTGTTCTCAATCACATTAATATTGCGTGTCAAGGAACATTTAGTGCGGTAATAATTTAGTAAATTTGCCATTGCTATAATCTGTGTGACTATTTGGCATTTCATAATCGGAATCGACGTAATATGAACTCGTGGATAAATGTGTTTCCTTCAACGAATTGTTATATTGCACACGCAGACTTGTCATAATCTATATTAATGTGTCTAGTATACGTTTGGATGCACATGGATAGTCACGTTGTATTACCTTAATTACACTAATGTGTCTTGTGGGTAATTCTAGTGAGGCGTAAATACAACGTACATCAATACCACAATTTAATGTTACAACAGGAAAAACGAGTAAAAAAGTATGCTGATATAACAATGTATACATATTCTGGAAGCGGAAACGGCAGTTCATATGCCTTACCAATGTCTATGGGATTATCCGGTGGTCAATTTTTCCATTGTTTTTTTTTACTATTCCAACCATTGAAAACACTTAACAGATACGCGAAATGAATTGTGAAATGCGCGCGTTCTTCGAAAGGATTGTTTTTCTTTATATCTTTCTTTAGCTGTGTCCAAATAACTGCAGACATGCTATCGACAATTCTTGAACAGCCTTGACCTGCTGTAACTAGAAAACAAAGACATGGATACAAAGAATCGATATGCAGGTTTGCTCAAAACAACACTCCAGAATGAATAGAAACCTCATACAGCGTAAAATCACCTTCAGATTTCTTTGACCTACGACATATGTAATACCGTATTTAATTATATACAAGTGTTCAGATAATGTATAAGTCATTATGAATCGCGGATCATTTTTACTCATTTTCCTCTTTAACATAACTTGGACACAATTGAAGTACGCCCTCTTACGTTGTGTTTCTAAATGGTGTGATATATGTTTCACCACTGTAGGGCTCATACCACTAATTGAATTTCCATAGACGACAATGTTAACATATGACGAGATTGATATATGGAAATGACGAAGAAAGTTGAAAATATGGCTCAAAAATGGGAAATCAACATGCCAGTAATCAACCATATGAAAAAAACTAACATGTTGGCCAGTTCAAACTCTTGCAAATCTCAGGTAAACAAGACACACCTACTGTATTTGGATTGCACCAAGAGAAATCACTGGAAAAACACCAAGATTAGAACATCCGAATACACACAGAATAAACCCACAGGTACACAGCCGCTAAGTAGTAAACAAAAGACCACAAGTTGGTCTCACCTCTGACCCAGGTGATTACGCCCTTAAACAGGGAGCACCTGAGAAAAAAATATTTAAAAAATTTCATTGGTTCTTGCTAGGCATTTAAATTGAGCAGCCATTGGTTGATTAGTGGCATGAGACCTGTAAACCGCCGTACTAAATTCAAATAAAGTGTGGGACACAATAAAGACATCTCCAATACCCCTGGCTAACTACTGTGTTTCCCGGGCGTTGAAATAGAGAAGAGAGCGTGTATTGAGATATACTAATACATATAAACGACAGAGACGATAAAATATATTGGGTCTGTAAAATATAGTACTGAGCACTGGTGGGTATTGGATTCAAAATGTAACATTGAGTGAGTTTTATTTTCGTCATTACGCTGTGACGTAACCCCTCTCTGTATGATTGTCATTGGCTAACGTCTTCTTTTCCATGTGATTATATCAGTCAGACCGCTAATTCTTGTTTTGGTAATATATCGTGACATATGTATAAGATAATTACATTGGCAAATACCTGATACAAAACACGTTAACATCATGTATCGCAGTCAATATATGTCTATTTATTTATTTATAAAAAACGGAAACAGGTAAAACTATAGCATAAATATCTGAAAATTGACAAAAGAAAATCTCCTTAACAAAGACAAAGTGAGTATCATCCTAATAGAATTAATGGTTGCAGTCAGGGATTGCGTAATCTTATCAAAATAAGAAGTAGTGTAAGAACGTTTTGTTTCATATACGTTTTACCGGATATCCGCTTACATACATCTGACCAACTCCAACTCAACCAATCAGAGAACATTATTCATACATCGCGACGCACTTTTGTTTGAAAAACGTAGTCTGATTGGACGTTGGATAGATATCTTATTTTAATTAGATAAGGGATTCCTAACTATGTCTTTTTTACGAAATGGTGTTACATTATATGGCAGCAGTGAAGGATTGAACAAATATTAATAAATCATGCACACAGTCTCACGGATAAATACTCTGAATACATAATTGGAATAATCGCGATTGATTCGTCGGTGCGATTGGTTTCTACAAATACAGAGGGCGTCATTTTCTTTAGGTTTGTGCTTTTACACTATTTGTGAACGGTCGAAATTGAAAATACGTTTGCACTGTACCTACGTCACTATGACCACATTCGGGTGAGAGGTAAACAACTCATAACATGGGTGGCTCGCCCAGCTGCGAAGATTGAAAACAAATGTTCAAATCACGTGACAGGTCAAATATAACACGTGACATGATATCAAGGACGATGTGCATTTTAGATACTATGTTGCCAGTATAGTATAATTCTTCGGTAGCCTATAATGTGTATTTCCAATTTGCATAATTGTAGCTCCCACTTATAGTAGCGTGGTGGGACATCAAAGACGAAGAATAACCTCGTACAACATATAAAACAAGTCGACAATCCCCACTGTGTCAGCATTGAGAAACATTGAAAATTATTCAACGTCCTTTTCATAATTCAAAGTTTTTATCTCGATTCTGATTATAGCGAACTGGTTTTAAATGGGTTCTGAATCTAGCCACGAGAGCATTGCACCATTATATAATAATTTATTTGACTTTGATTTGGTCACTAGCATTTGTTTTAATTTAAGTTTCTTTGTGTTTAAGTCTGCAAGTACTGTGTTGAATTTGAACTTGTACTCTGAATCAGATATGCTAAAATGACAACTGCAGTCCCACGTCGAAATTTTATCAGGACGCGGGGAGGTACATTTCATTCGTCATATGTACGGTGAAATAATATTCACATGTGATTGGTTCACAGTATTTGATCACGTGATACAGCCTATTTTCCTCGTGCTCTGACAACAGTGGTCCAACAGAGCAGCATTTGTATTTAGACGTGATAATTGTGATGAATGTCTAATCGACAATTTGATGTCTAAACAACAAGTTCGTGCTAAATATTCACAATATGACCCACGTGACAGAAATGCATCTGTGTGAATTACGTCATATCATCATCTGATATGTTACCTCGATATGACCACGTCATTTAAGCGATATGTTCACAATGTAGCATTTTTTCACTCATGGTGTTAAAGATATAAATGTTCTTAAACTGGACGTTGGCGGCGACATATAACTAAGTTTTTCGTTATGTCCTGTGATTGCTGTTTATTTTGTTCAGCATCTTGTTAATCACTTGTTTAACCTGCTGAGATGAGCTTCGTCGTCGCTGTTTTCCTTCCAGGGCTTTTCTCCTTCGAACCTCCCGATACAGTTCGTGGAAGGCTTCTCGTATCTGTTCATCGCCGTCACATGCTGAGGTTTCAAAGAACGCACATGCAAGATCCGTAGCAAGTTTCTCCCCTTCCTCCGTGCTCACAACTCGTTCGTGCTCCAAGTCCGATTTGTTTGCGACAATTACCATGGAAACGTTCCTGTGCTTTTTAATTTCGTCGAGATAATCCTTTATATGTCCAACATCGACGAAGCTCTGTCGGTCATTCACACTGTATACGACAAGAAAACCATCTCCCCATCTCACGTGACCTTCTCTGTGAATGTTATTCTCCTGCGCATAAAATACAAAATATATATTTTGAAAATGGTACTCATTATTCGAATAATTAAAAATTTGAATTAAACTACTCCAAGACAGGCCATGTATCATGTACTAATATAGCTTGTGTCAATTATTTTCGATTACGTTTTTAATTTCAATTTAAAGGTAATCATCGCGCCACGTATGCACGAGATAATAGTATATGGGTCTCATATACACAATGATGGCGATTTTGACTGTTGCGCAGATCAAGGAGTACAAACTGAGACGTTACCATGCTTTAATTAGGTATTTTGGAAGGTATCGAAGGAGTCACTGGCGGTAATTAGTCCAACTCGCGCCCAGGTCAAAGAGCGCATTGGATTGTGGGAAAATCAATGTTTATCAACACAAATGTCACACATGCGCAGCGCGACGACTGCCGCCCTTTAAATTTTGCTTTATTGTCATATATTTTCTAAACTGCTCACTATTTGACAGCATTGGAAACTGCACATACACAACGAACTGAATTGTTCATATTATTTGGATTAGCAATAGACATAAAGAGTTCGGCTTCATTTCGCACATTTCATTTAAATAATTACAGTATTTCGTTTTAAAGTATCGACAGTCAGAAAATCTCTGATGATTTTATTTGTGATCAAAGCTTAATGAGCATATTACAATAAGTAACGTTTCCGAAGCTGCAATGAATTATGGCCATTCACATTAGATTACGGGAAATGTTGAGAACTGTCAAAAAAAAATTGAGCCTTTGTTCATACGGCCCATATTACTGAAACTGTCACATTTTCTGTAAGATATTGAGCAGCACGGAATCTCGGTGCCGTGGTTTAACTATGGTGATTTAATACTTGGTTTAAGTATTTGCCTTGTGTGAACCACACGTGAAACGAAATTTTCAAAGTCGTTATTTATTTGATACATAAAAACACTTATTTATTCTTAAATATCCATTAATATTCACCTGTCCAGCGGTATCTAGTATTTCCATGGTGATGGGCTCTTCGTCAATAGTCACCTGGTGTCTGTATGTAAATTCTAAAAAAAAAATACAATTTATGAACAACAAGATTATTTTCTGCCAGTCTCTTAAATAACAATCACATATTTCTTATCAAACAAAACATCGGTCCATAAAACAGATAAGACATGTAATAAAGGCGATATCTTGATTTTGACCTCCATTGACGCACTTTGACGTCACTTCCTATAATCAAAATTCCATCTGCAATATATTATTACTCGTTTTCATATTCCTCACCGGACGCACCTGGACGTAGAAATGTTATTCTCATGTGTGAACTTTTATAATGACGTAATGCTGACGCAGATTGTCGTCTTTTTTTGTGTTGCTCGGAGACAAACTATGGCGAAAACATGGTTGTATAACTTCGCATGATTAAGATCCTCTTTATCTTGCAATTGTTGTGTGAAGTGATCTTTTCAGAATGAATTGACTATACTGTTATTGACTTACCGAGTGTAGGGTCGTATTCCCAAATAAATCTCCTCGTGAGAAACCTGACAACCGTGGCTGCAAAACCAAAAAAAAAAAAGATAAGAAACAATTTATTATATACATTTGGCACATTAATTTCTATACCATATATCATGCGGTCGATATGTCAAGATTATTCCGATTAATCACGTAATCATATTTCAAGGACATCCACAAGTCGTGTGCACCAACTCCCAATCCCTCCCACCATCAGTCGGAACCCCACTCTCCAGGAAGGAATAGTTGGTACATGCCATTTGAATCAGTCGCATTTTGAGGCATTTTATGGCTTATTGTGTTGATTTATCTATTATCGCGCAAATTTATTCTTTTGAATTGGCCTTTTCACGTGCTGAAATCGCCCATTTTGTTATCTTGATAAAATGTGAGTGTGTAATTTAAAGGTAATAAACTGAGCAAGTAAAAGTGTCGACAAAATGGCTTACGTAGATTACCTAACGGGGCATGCAGTGTGTGGGTGAGAAATTGTGAAGCGAGTGCAATCAAACAATTGCGAATGAATGGCAAGTTTGCTATTCTACTTTGTGTAATTTGGAATGGAATGAATCCATTTATGTTACGTGCCGACACGTATTATACGAAAATACGCAAGTGGGGTTATAGTCCCTATATATACGAAACAAATATTTAGTGGCAGGGGTAGCTTCGCGCCAAGGTCATTAAACAGGTATTTAGCGATTTATAAAGTTATTGCTCAATAAATTATAGCCTTCATAGTGTTTTATCAGCTATAAACTGTATTAACCTTGCAGCGTCTGATAAGGCTAAGTGGATATCGGGAATCACTAGTACTACTCGATACAGAGCTATTTTCATATTTAAATGTCTTAAAACATGTACAATTAAACAAGAAAGTAGACTGTAGAAAACATTTGTAGATCGTAAAAGTAGGCCCTTAACGGCGCCTACTGCCACTGACACAATCCATATGTTTACGATTGTTATAGCAAAGCTCACGTACTCCCAACGAGCGTCAACCATTTAATTTATTTCGTTAACGTCTCGACAGACTGTGTTAGCCTCGCACATAGATCGTAAGGAGTGTGTTTTATTGTGCTTTTACTGTCAGGCCACTCGAACTCACGACTCCCTTAGTTTGCTTTAGCGTAACTTTACCCTACTGCAAAAGATACATCATGATATTATACTCGACGTAGAAGTTGTTCGTTTACTGTGGATATTTTCCGGTCAATAATTTCAGATTCCGCTGTTTCACACTCTTGCGCACATGTTGTATGCACCATTATGACTTGACAGTCTGTTTTTTTGAAAGTTTATTTCTGGTTCAATAATGCATGTTTGTGATAGGGTGATATGTTTTTGATGACCTAATTCATAACGCTGACCTCAGATAAAATGTTACATGTTTAGTGAACTCCAAATACGACAAAATGATAAAGCGTTATTTCATTTCAATATACGGCATTACTAAACGTTGATATCCTCAGTGAACAACATAATGGAATTTATAAGCAGGCTTCTATCTTAAAAATGTATGGGAGTGCAGGTGGACTGGCAGACTGTGTATTTAGGTCAAGGTGTCATGCTACAACAACGTTGAAACATCGGTTTGAAATTCGACTGGTTACTGTAGAAGATGTTATCATTGGAATCAGATGAAACACAAAAATAAACTGATTTTATTTTTGGTATATTTGCTCGTATATTCGGTGGCCTTGAATCAAGTCAAGTTATTTTCATAAGTGTCCACTATGCCACTGATGAAATATACAAGTAAGCCCTGATGAAGCTACACATGCGTTAAAAGTGGTATGCCACCCTCGTTTATTTATTATGTAACACAGTCTTTAGCGACTTCAAAACAAATTCATCAAAACTGTTTATTTTGTAACTTGAATGCGCAGAATTTGTTGAAACGGAAATAAAAACAACCTTGATCTAAAGCAGATTTTTAGGAAATCAATAAATCATCATTATTACTGTGTCAAAACTATTTACAGATTCTTAAATATACAACATATAGTATACTAACAACTGGCAGAGACGATAGAAAGCGGCATATATTGAATGCAGTTGAGTCCGCATTCGGTTAATTGTAAAGCGGTGTTAACAGTACATTGAAACACGCACGCAGAACATCTTTTTTAAACTTATTCTTAAATTATGCTTCTCTGGATGTTTGACCAGTACAGCGCTAATTTAATATGTATCCGATGTATCTTGGGATCATTATTGGTTTTGTGTGTTATGCAAGATTCTTCTAATAGTGACGTCATATTGGTATTCTATCTCGTAATTTTAGATGATTCCACGGGACAACGCATTGTCCAATCACTGCACAATTTCAATGGTATCACACAGTTCCTTTTTTATGGTAACTCTGATAGGAGTAACGTTCCTGTGCTCATAGAAAATACTGACAATAATAATCGTCTACCGGGCTCGACTCGGCTGTAATTTTGAACAGCATTATGCATACCATGCTAAGCTCTGAACATGGTAATTTCTAGCGATGTCGATGTAGCAATTATACATGCCGCGAATTCAAAGCATTTTTTATTCACGTCATATAGATTGCTTGCTGGGTTTTTGTCAACGTTCGTGATCGACAATATGGGAATCCGTACAAGCGGACATGATTTAATTGATTTAACTAAATAATACTCCAGTTGTAATTACAGAAACGAAATATTTCACAGCCTGTAACAAAAGACGACGTATCGCGTATTTGTTACTGCATCTAAGAGACACGACATACCAGTACGTGAACCGCACCGTAAAACGAAATGATGTACGACGCCTGTGTTTCTAAAAATATAATGTTCGGCATGTTTGTGTTTTTCAGTGTTGTTTTATCATTTTATTTATTTCACATTGATATCCTGAAACACATAATAGATATATAATTAGCTAATGATATGGATATGTCCTGAGATTACATGGGGCGCATCAGTCAAGTTCAATAATACTGACATGCGTTCAACTTGACCTTTAGTTGTGTACGGTATGGATGTCTCACATCGCGTCTGACTGTCTCAATATGTACATGTATTTTTATCACTATACAAGTGCCTGTTTATAGAGCAAAATGGGAATGCAATATGATTGATGAAGTGGACGTTGCTGAAGGGGGCGTTGAGGTCGATACGACCTTTGAACAATATTTGCCAGAGCATATTACATTACGGGATTTTGAATTTTCTATGAAACGTGACGATTGGGTGTCGTGCCTGCGTAATAGTGTACAATGTGAATGTATCTAATTATGACATTATTCTCTTTCATATTATTTTCAGTGTATGCTTGCGAGTTTGTGTCCGAGGTTTCTACTAAAAATGAATGTCGTGATTCGATATTCGTGCAATTATTTCAACTGAGTTAGTAATTATCTTGATTCGTCTAAGAATGTTCTGAACCGATAAAAAAATAATCAAAACAACATGTTTTGGCCTCACAGCCTGAAAAGAATGTTTTGTAATCATTTTTTCGAAATGTCCAATATTGTTTGGTAAACTTTAAAAGGAGTCGCTGACAATAGACCTACTGTACATTGGCGGCATATATAGGGGATATTCGTGAAAAATAGCTATCTCTAGTCGCCGAATCCCCGGAATATCTGTAGACTTGCATCCAGCTCACAGTTTTGTTTTTTTTTTGTTTTTTGTTTATATTTTTTATAAATATATTTTACAAACAAACAAACAGAGACTGTATGCAAGTCTGGGCCATATTGTGTTCTTATATATACTACACAAACACGACACACAGTTCTGTAGTTGAAAGAGTACATGTACATATACGGGCAATGGTCTGTGCACTAAATTCAGTGCATATAGCTACAGGTGAATCCCAACCCATGGTTAATTGATATCTCACTGATAAAACATTCTCAACACAAAGTACCAGTACCCTCTCAGGAAAAAACCGTCTGAACTAAAAAAAAACATGATATCCTTACCAGATTTGCCGACAGCTGTCCTTCCCAGCACCACGAGCTTAACTTCGCCATGTTTCCCGTTCGTCGGCGGAGATCTCTGTAGGCTCATGTCTCTTATATTATTGTTGGGTTCTTTCAACCGTCCCATGGGTAAATTTAACTCCCCCGTCAAAAGCACTGAGTACGGGTGGTTTGAGGAGTCTTTGGAAGGTCGGACGTTAAACAACTGCCGGTAGGATAAAAAACAGACCAATCGTTCTCAGAACAAACTCCGTCAGCGTGTTCATCTGTTCAAAGGTTTAGATCGGTTGTTGGTAGTCAGTCTGTGAGTGGCACATCAACAGATATGGGGTCGATAGCCTGCTAACTGCAGGCCAAATGGGCCAAATAAAGATAAGTCTTGCACCTCGGGGTGAAGATGTCTCACTGGCGGGAAATTGATACTCTTCTTTCAACTTCTATGCCTATAATTACAAAAACCTTCACAGCTTCATCCTGACTGGGTGCACCACTTCACAGTAGCTGTAAAAACAGAAGTTCACAGACGAAAAAACATGAAATATACTTCGATTGGCAGACGACAGACGTGTGGTGAATTAATTATGAAAATGGCGCCAACATATACCAGCTAGACGTGATTGTCCAAATTCGAATGACATTACAATCCAAACGTTATTATCAACAACGTCTCGTCTATTAATATATTATACGGGTTGTTCAGTGTTTCCAAAGAATGTGACTTGATTGTGTAATTACATGCGTGAAATCGATAAAGTATATGGCCAATTTGTCTGGCAAACCAACGTATTTATGAATGGGCTCCCTATAAATTATACAGCATAATGAGCTCTACGGGTCTCCCAACAATGGACACAACTGTACTGTCTACCCAATACTAGCAATTCTTAACACGGTTACTAACGATCATTTCTGAAATAGATATCCAGATGTTTTGAGTGTATAACTTCGAGCACTTCAAGTCGGATCATACGGGCACAGAGCAATCTTTTCGTCATCATGCGGTTCTTTCGTTGTCGACCATTTGCCGTTATTTAGGAACGTAGCTCACATAACGATTAAACATTTGTCCCCCGCGCCAACGCCAAACGTCGAATATACGCGAGAGTATAGACTCGAATATACACGAATAGTACTAACTCTATTGATATTTGGTGCATGGAGTGTTTAAGGATTTTGTAAGTTTGGGGTTAAAATCGGTTAATTTCAGTTTGAGCACCCGTAACTAACATTAAATGTTCGAAGCAAATAATACCGCCGAAATGGAAGGATGTATGTGCACTGGTCGATGAAATGAATGCCTCTAGAGACAAAAGTAACTCACCGAAGTTAACAAACTCCGCCAGTGATTGTCTGAGAGAACTACTATCTTGAAGTGACTGGCGAATTAGTATCAATTACCGAGCCACGATAAACAACCATTTTATATTGTATCCCAGACGCAATGATAAGTCGTCGAATGTTAGTACCCTTGCTTATATACGGTGTAAACACTCGACGCAAAATATGTACGGGACTTCCTGACCTACAATAAATTTTATTACTAACAGATAAGGAGGTCTGAAATAATGTGATTGAAAGTGGAAATTAGTTTTATGAGTTATTGTTATAATAATTCGTAATTATATTTTTATTTAATTTTCATATATATATTTTTTTATTTTACCAAAGTTAAGATGGTTTGTTTTAGACCTGGAAGCTATGGGATGGTTTGAATATATTGTATATTATGGCAAAATTATGCTTACCTTTTCCAACGTTAGAACACACAGCTAATGTCACTTGTAGCAACCGCGTGGCTCTGAATAAATAAACAAACAAATAAATAAATAAATAAAGAAAAATCCGGTTATAATTTGTGAAAAGCGAAACGCGTGGTGCCAGTAAAGTCATCTGTGTATATACCGTAGCATGTTTAGCATGGCGATAACATACACATTTGGGTTGTGCTGATCTAAACGACGGGCTTGTGTATTGCCACCATAGATGGCGCTACTACCGTGCCGCTCGATTCGATTGTACATAGGGCCTCCACATGGGTAAAAAATAATATGGCTTCTTCCCACTTCACTTTTTATGGGTTTCTGCAGTTTCACTCTTCACATTTTATAAAAAAAAATCAATTCACTTCATTTTTTATAACATAAATATTCTTCACTTCACTTTATATAAGCATTCAATTATTGTACTAATTAATATTACTCAGTAACTAGAAACTTTGCATTTCAGATACAATGATTTATTTCATTACAGATGTTATCAGGGTGAACAATTTTCATACTAATAAAGCACTATAGATAGTACTGCTGTTTCTGTTAGTCCCCGATTTGAATTATCAGTAGTCAAAAAAACGGCATATACAATATACCTTCTGTGCATCCAGTCATAACTCAGCTATATATTGTTTTTTGTCATCTTAAGCACATACATCTCATATTGAGGAAATGATGCATGTGCAGGAGTTCATGATTGGACCAAAGATATGTGACTACATGTATTTCATTTGTATGACTGCTGGTAAATGAGAAGCATATTATAAACTCTTTCCCTGCAAATAGACTAGTAATATCATCTTTAAAGTTCGGAAACAAATGCATACAATAGACATTTATCATGATGCAATCATTTATTGTTTATTTATTTATCAATTATATATATAATTGTTTACATAAACAACATTTTTCATGTTACTTTCTGTTTT